CGTTTACACGAGCATTCAAGCACAGTGTGTTCGATCAATTTCAAATTGTGAAGACCATTTCCCCCTTCAAAAAATATTTCTATATATGCATTTGTAAACTGTTATTTATGATATTCGTAATAATGTTTGTTTAATCACCTTATTTCAACTTTTTTTTGCTAATTACTCGAACTTTGTTAAAACCTTAACTGTATCCTGAACAACAACTGAAGTTGTAGGAGGAAATTCACCTATTTTCCTGATCTAAGAATCCCCCCTTTTCCAAATTTTAATATCATCTAATAATTTAAAAAGACAAATTACAATAAAACGGTTTATTATCCAACTATCAGAAATTTCACAACATGCCAAGGAAGAGAGGAAGGAGCAATTAAATAATTAAAATTATAAAGGATTTAAAAATATATATAAAAATGGGGAATATCGCACTTCTGACAATTGCAGCAAGTGTGTGGGCTAAATTTGGAGAATCCGTGCTTCTCGCATGGACAACTGTATGTGGCCAGCTCACGCGTCGAAAAACCTTCCGATTTATTCGTGTACGCACCAGACGGAAAAACAAAAAATATCGTGTATCCACAAACATTCCAATAAATAAATAGAATTGAAACGACACTTTGAAATGTTTTTCCGATGAAAATGAATAATAATAATAAGTTTCAATAAAAATAATAAAATGTAAATTGAATTTTATCATAACGAGTTTGCTTGAATTTCCTTTCTTCTGAGATCGCAGCAATGCGCGACGAGTAAGCTAGTAATAAATAAATAAAATTGTGTATGACACTATCCGTTATGAAATTTTGTTATAAAAACCTTCTATATTATTAATTGATATGAAATGGCAAAAAGATTATTTTTGAGGATAGAGATGAGTTTCATAAAAAACTGTAAATACTAACAAGTAAAAATATCCATTAAGTCCTTTCCCACTCGAGATATGGCACACGACTACCCTCTATCTCTCCATCCGCTCAACCTTTTACAATCAAAATTTAATAGCATCAATGTCCCTTATACACAAGCTATTCTGCCAAATTTTGTGTTTTAATCTTTATCCCATACAAAGATTTATCTCATTTATCGCAACCTTTATCCCATTAAAATTAAACAAAACACAAACAGAAATTTTTTGCCCCTTTTTTTTTACTGTTTTGGGTTCAGGAGTTATCAAAACATGAAAATTTGCAAAACACCCAGAGGGTTAGATCTGACACAATTCCAATACTTTCCCTTGTTATGTATACATAATAGCAGGGAAAGTGAAATCCATGGAGAGTTATCTTATTTTAATTAATAAGCTTTTGGTGAATTAACTTATAAGATATTATTGTTAATATATTTTACACTCATTAGCAGTCATCACATAGACAATTTTTTGAATTTTATAATAAATACATCTGAAAAACTTTTTAATTTAAAAACTATTCCATTCTATTCCTATTAATACTACTTATATATGAAATAGCCTTCAATAAAACAAGCAAAATAGTTGTTTTTGCTCCATTGCAGCATTTCCTGCTAGACTTTTGATTCTTAATACAAAGTTTTATGCATGTTTTTGTTCTTTCACAACTTACATTGAGTATGCAAAGACAAAGTGAGCCACCTTTGACATTTTGCTACTCAATTGTTGATTTGTACAAGATTAAACCAATTCTGGCTAAATATGCACTTATTCTTCACTACCAACAATCAAGCTTTTTGCTTAAATTGATTCTGTCATATGAATGAGATTCCTGATAATTTTCAATTGGACTTTGTAGATCTTGATTATTAAGAAAATAGTAGGTTCAACTAGCAGATTTTACAAATTTATCATAAATAAAATTTAAATAAATACCTTTGTATTTCTGGAATAGGATGGTCATTCATTGCATTATATTCATCTTTAGTGTACAGTCGATAACAGACACCTCTAAATTATTTAAAAGAAAATAAAATAAAGTTACTAATTATTATAAATTGTTACTTATATTATATGAGCCTGTTATATTGAGGAATTAATAATAATATAATCTAATTTAAAACAATAAAAATATTAAATTGACTAAGTATTAAGAACAATGATTCATTTACTTTGATTGACGTCCTGCTCTGCCAGTTCGCTGCCATGCTTGAGCTTTTGAGATTCTTTGAACTTTTAATAATTCTATATTGTATAAAGGATTAAATGTTCTGTAAGAAATATCACAAAAACATTCATTTAAAAGTAATTCTAGTGAATTAATAATTGATAATTATAAATATTCAAAATTAAAAGCATCAATATAAATTAATTTTTCTATTTTTAGTTAATTTTCTTCTTAAAAAAATTTATTCATAAGCAGAATAAATTTACTTGAACATTATTATTAGTATCAATTTTATCCACTGTGAAAAGTTTTATTAATATTAGAATTAACTAACATGAGTAAAAAAAGTCTCAGCTTAATTATTTATAAAATAAAAAATTACAATAATTTGAATTAAATACAAATTCCTATATTTGAAAATAAGATTGAGAGTATCCAATAAAATTAATTATTCAGAAAATAATGCAAAATTAATATACAATATTGTAAATTCAACATTTATGACATCAAAAACAAACTTTGTAATACTATATAACAGTGCTTTTGGAGTAATATTTTGCAATATTATCTTAATTTAACTTTTTCCATCAATTTTTATGGGAAAAATTCTAACTGGTTCCCGATTCATCCAAAAACCCTCCAAATAAACCAATTACCCCTGGCTGCTTACAGTCCACATAACATTAAAAACACTGAAAAACTTATTTATCTAATGATCAATTATTTTAGTATGATATTAAGCATTAAAACTCCAATTACCTTACTAACAAAACATTTAATAAAATCATTAAAGACTGTGTTTATAAGCAATAATACAATCACTAAATTTGTATGGTATTCCTAATAGGAATTACAGTAAGACCCAGCTTAACACAGGGGATGCATTCCAGATGACAAAGCGCTAAACGAGATAATTTTTAACAGAGTAAATAGGGATAGGGGAACACACGACCAAAAATAAACAAAGTTTACTTTAAGTTATTTTTATATTAATTTGTATAATAATATATGTTAAACAAGTAAAACGGCAAAACCGTATTTGGGACAAGACTATGTCTCCAAGACAGAATCACTTTGATGCTCAAGGCAGGTCTTGTTCTCATTCTCCTATCTTCTTTGATATCGTTGCTTTTGGGTGTGATCGTTCAAACTTCGCCAGCCACGACGATGAGATTGTCCACAATGCATCTTTGATGAAATTAACCTATCTAATTTCAAAATTTCTCTCTGTTGCATGTCGGCCCAGGTTGAACTTTTGTTGATGCGTAACAAAAAGTTCCTGTTTTTGAAAAAATAATCATGTTTATTGTATTGTCCAAAATTATTTTTTTATTTCTACATGAATTACTTGTTCTGCCAGTTCTTGAAGGTCGTCATTGGTAAGACTCTCATCAGAAACCTGTGGTAACTCCTCAATATCCTGCTCGTCTACATCTCCTAGTCCTGCTGTATCAATTAAGTTGACCAAAGTCAACCTAACGATACAGCAATAGGCTCTTCTTGTTAAGAATTCTTGGATACCTTCAGCCATAACTTCTTCCACACTTCATTCGTGCATTTATCAGTTAATTCTTGCCAAGTGAAGCCAATATTGCCCATGGCATCCATGATGTTAAATTTTTCCAAAATTTGCATCAACCAAACATAGAATTAAAGAAAGTACACCTTTTTGCCACCTTTTTCTGATTGGTTCATGTTTGTAAATAATTGTATTATATACGAATCAATAAAATGCCGCGATAATTTGAATCAGCATAAATTTTGAGCTTTTTTTTAAGGCTTCAGGCAGACCGTGTTATATCGAATCAGCATTAAGTGGAGTCTTACTGTATATAGCAACTGCATTTTTGTTGAATATGCAGTAGATGACAATGGAAATGTTGTAACAATACATTTTATATTAAAATTACTACTGTATAAAAATATAATAATAAAAATAAAACAAAGTATTGAACATACTGTAATGAACTGTTAAGAATAAGATTGTAAAAATATTTTAAAATTTTGTGATAAGGATCACTATAACTGCATAACTGCAGTAAAAAGTAAATTTTGGTTTTTTTTGTAAAAAAAAAAGATTAATAAAAGTAATGAAATAATTGATAAAAAACAATTAAATGACTTTTAACATTTTAATCTTACACTTATTCTACAGCAATTTATGTTGTCAACTGTTAGACAACACTAGGGAAGGAAAGACATATCATAGTTTCTTACATTATTTTAACACATACATTTAAGTAGATAGTAAACATTGTTTTATATGTATTAGTTTACACTGTGAATGTTAGCATTATATTTTATAAAAACATATTGGTTAATTCTTAAAAATCAACAATGTCACCTAAACAAAAAGATTCTAATGACAAAGTATCAAAATGCCAGAAAGTGACATTCCTCAAAGATTAAAGTGGTAGCTCATTTTCAGAGAAGAGAATTAGAAGCTACATTGCTTGTGCTTTGCATGTCTACCATAAAATACATTAAGTAAATAAAATAAAAAAAACAGAGGTTAGAAATGTAATAGCAAAATTATGTATGAAAATGTGCTTTTACTTTTTCATATTCATAGTATTTTTTCAATTCTCTAACCTTATTTTTTCAAAGCATTTTTCCTTTTCATATTCATGATTTCCAAATTTATGACAGTTTTACAGAACTTAATCTCTCATGAATATGAGATTTATACTGTACTTGAAATTATTTGATTCAACATTGCACTGGGTATTAACCTATTCTGATATTCCTGAGATATCTTGGGTCAAAACATGATGACCTTGATCTGTGAACCTGAGATATCTTGTTTCTGCATTGGGATGTTTTTGACACTAGATGTCATTAGTTAGTTTACATTAAAACTAACTTCCGAAATATAATTTTTTTTGTTTTTACATTTATTAATATGTCTATTTTGTTTATGCAAAATAAAAAAATAATTTTGGACAATACAATAGTCATGACTATTTTTTTTTCTAAAACGTGGAATTCTCATTATACTTAACATCAACAAAAATTCAACCTGGAGTGACACACAACGGAAAAAAATTTAGAGTTAAAGAATAACATTTGTTGTTTTGGGAATTTGGATATAAAAAGTTCAGATACTAGAGTATAGCTACATTACATATCTTAATACACATCTTAAGTAAAAATAAAGTAAAACAAAATAAAAGTCTTAAACTATACACAACTATCTAAAATACAGTTTGATTAACATCAAAGTGTAATTAATTTAAATTGATCCAAATATTAATTTCTAAAGTAAAAACAAAACATTCTTACTTGGCTTTTACCATTCCAGTATCGACAACATATTTTATTCCTGGAATTGTTATAGAAGTTTCAGCAATATTTGTAGAAAATATTACTTTTCGACAACTCTGCATAAAAAATGTCATTAAAAAACTGAAATCTTTTATAAGCAACAAAGTATTTCTCAGTGAACTTTCTAACCTTTGGAGGAGGTTTCAAAACTTCAACTTGTTTTGTTGAAGAAAGTGCTGCATAAAGAGGATATGGACAAATTTGTAAACAATCTGTAACAATAAAACTTATGTTTAATAAATATTAAAATTTTAAATTATATTTTATAAAATAAATGTAAAATTTTATTGCACTTCGTTTAAGGAATAGATGTTATTAAATTAAAAACTTGTTAAAAAGTTAGTATAAAATGTTGTGAAATAAAATAATTAAAATAGGTTTGAAAGTGATATAATAATATCACAGATAAATACAGTGTGACCAAAATAGTTGCTTGCCAAATGTGGATGATATGATCATTGTTCTTACAGTTTAGGGCACAATAACAACAGAAGTAATTGTGATGACCCTTGAACAATGTGTGCAGCTTGTTTTATTGTATTGAGACAATCAAGAAACAACAATATGGAAGGTCTGGATGGTGACAATTCCATTGTCACTACCCAGACCTTCCAAAGCCTTCACATCAAGCTGTTGGCAATATCATAGAAAAATTTAAGGAAACATTCAAGGTCCTAGATGAAAACAAGCTCCACTCATTGTTTGGGAGTTGGCATCATTACTTCTAGTTGTTATTTCACTTAAAACAATAAAAACAATAATTATACCCATTTGGCAAGTGACCACATAATAAGGCATTTGGCTGCACTATATAATAATTTATACAAATATAACAAGATCAGGAAGTTTTAAAATAATCAAAACTATATATATTTATT